AAGACGAGTCAATGTAGTTTTACTGCACGATAACGCTCGACCTCACGTCGCATCTGTGGTTCGCCGGCAGTTGGAGAACTTGGGCTGGGAGACGATACCCCACCCACCTTATTCCCCAGACCTCGCCCCATCAGACTATCATTTGTTTAGAGCCCTGAAACAGCATTTGCGGGGTAAACAATTTAATGATTTCTCTGACGTAGAGGCGGAGTTGAACAACTTTTTCGAGGCACAGCCATCAGAGTTCTGGGCAAAAGGCATCCAAACTTTGCCGGATCGTTGGCAAGAAGTCTTAGATACTAATGGTAATTACATCATTGACTAAACTTTTTTTATTGTAATAATAATAAAAAAGTAAAAACTTAAACCAAGTGTCTCATTACTTTTGTGCCAACCCGATAGATTAATCAACTGAAATGATTTTCACATTTTTTTTTGTAGTAGCAAAAGTAATCATACCGGTTTCTGTTACGCGTTCAGAAAATATGAACCATTTTAACTTATAAATTTTTAACTAAATTAATTTATAACATTAATTTGGAAAATATTACGTTTTGTAAACTTGAAAAAAGAAAGCTTTGAAGTTGCAAATTTGCTAAAATAGATATGACTTTGAATCAGTTACATAAAATCTAATAACTATCATTATAAGAGCTATAAACATAAACGCACAAATAATAAAGATTTTACAATTTAAAGAGATTGCCTAGACGCCCATATGTTTTTCTCTTCGCAGCACTGTGTGACGTCACTTAGTGTCTTGAAATTGTAGGCAGTTCGACCGACTAGCAGCAGTTCCACAAACATAGTATCGTATCTCTAAAACTATTAATCACAGACATTGCTTCTACATTATTTCCCAAAATTTAATGGACTATTTGTTTATTAAATAAATAAAGTTGTCATCGATCATGCTGGGTCGTTCACTCTTGACAGAGTGGTCGTAGTTTCAGGATTATAGGAGCAACAATTCCTAACAATAGGTTTACTCAATTGTTACTAGGACAAGCAGAGTAGTAGCATCCCATTACTACGCCCATTGTCAGAACAAATAATGATATTAATAGTTATTATAATTTGATATATCTTTTATTCTATTAATTTCGGTGAGTATAATGAATATTACAGCCAAAATTATCTCGCCAGATAAAGTACTGTCACTGTACTGAGTTTAGATCGGTCCTTGTATCTGTCCTGTCCTCGGAGTACTGCTGCCACCTTTGGGATCGCTCCGCTAAACATCAGTTGGCCGCTTTGAATGCGATTGAAAATCGAGCAAAAAGGCTCATTGGAAACGCGGCTCTGATTATACACCCAAGCATCGTCGCAGGGTTGGTGGTCTGTTCGTGTCTTAAAGGCTGCATTTCGGCGAATATGGAAAGGAGCCTTATGATTTGATTTCACTAGCCCTGTTCCATCATCGGCTTACTAGAAGCAGACTGGCTTGAAATCCCATTGCTCGTACTAAGCATCTTTTCGAGATGCTGAAACATGGAATGCACTGCCTGGTCATGTGTTGCCAGATTAGTATAACCTGAAATTCTTCAAAATCAGAGTGAATAGCCACTTGTTGGATTGATATAAAACCATCTCAGGCCACATCTTACTTACCATCAGGTCACATCTTTGAATAAAAAAGAAAAAACGATCGGTCGTATCGTATACGAATTAACTCTTAATGTGCAAATTTAATTTATACTTGACTAAATTTGACCTTTTTTATTGTTTATGAAATAAAGCAAAAAGAAACAGCAGACGTATGACTCGATGAAATCCTAAACCTGCACGCTTTTGATAAATGTAATTAGTATAGTTAATTTTCAGCTCGCGTATCGCGTTTCTTAGCTCACCGGCTTAGTGTTTATGTTGCGTTATGTAACCTCTAGATCGATGTAGACCCGATAACTTGTACGCTTTCGTAATATTACATAGTATGTACTGAGTATGGCCGACCTCATAAAGTGTTTGTTGTGATTTGTGAATTGACTCAAGAAGGTTATTTTATAAATGCATGTATCTGCTTAATTATGAGTAAGGTATTAAGTTTAGGCATAGGAAGGGGAGAGGGAGGAACAGTGTAGTTTTACTATAAAAAAAATAAAAAACTTTTGCACAAAAATCTAAATAAAAAATCAGTACGAAGGTCGCCAAATAATTAACGCAAAAAGCTTAAGACCGGACTTAAAAAGAAAACGCTGAAACAACCTTATATTATTATATTTAGTTTACAATGCTACACTAATTAAAAAAAAATTCTTAATGAATAATTTTTTGGAAAACCACTTTGTCCTTGGCCTTCTAAGATGGGACTCGAACCTACGACCTTTTGCAATCCGGGCGACTGCTCTAACCACAGAGCTATCCAGGACCTTACAGGACTGACGAATTTTTCAAGCACTTGTTGCTTTTTCTCTACTACAGAGTGTATTTTCATCAATGCTCAGGCAGTCCACCCAAACAGCCGAAATAAATATTTTTACAAATATTTAAACTTTCGATAAAGATGAAAATTTGTTCTAATTATTATATTTCATTAATTTTGCATTAACATTGTTATTCTGAAAAATATTCTTAATGAATAAGGCTTAAAATGCTTTTCAAGCATTTGTTAATAATAGGCAATTCTCAGGCAAACCACCCAAAACCTCGGAATTCGCGATATAAGTATTTTAGTGTAAAATAATTAAAACATGAGATAGATAAAAATAACATAAGGAATAAAAATGAGTTTCGCATGCAGATTATTTTTATAGTAGGCAAGTAGGTATTTATTACAAATGTGTTTTGAATACCTTGTTTGTTGTCGTACATCTTGAAAGCGCCGCCCATTTAATATACAGGATTTTTTTATAAGTGCACAAATTCTAGCCTTTTGTTTTTTTTTCAATCGTATTATATTAAAATTTAAAATTATTTAAATAAAACAACCTTTAAACGGTTTCATCACATTTGTATTTTTCTTTTATTGACTTTTCTTACCCTTTACAGCTTCCATGTTCACATAAAACTAAGGTATTAATTGTCTTTTAAATAGAGTATTTGACGCTATTAAAAATAAGTTGCGTATTATGGTGATTAGATAATAATCTAAATAAGGTTTATTTCTTAGAATCTGCAGACAAAATACATTTAGCTTTAGTAAAGTAAAGAAAATGCAAATTTTGCAAAATGCAAAAAAAACGCCCTGTGGTTTTCGTCGCAACCAATGACAGGTTCTGTTTACCGCCATGTGACGTCACACGGAAAAAGGCGCTGTCATGACAACAGTATTATTAATTAGAGATACGCAAAATTTGTATTTATACATACAATTTGTAGCTCATTTTTATAAACAAAACCAGATTAGATACAAATACAAAGCATAAAATTTAATTTTAATTTCTTCGTAAATAAATATTTGCTAAATAGGTTATGTCGCCTTGACGTATTTACCGGTATACCACGTGATCAGCGCCATTACATAGAGCAGCGTTTTTTGTGCGATTTCGGCTATTTAAACTTTAACAATTATTTTCATCGAAAATAGAAAATAGTGTGTTTATAATATATCAAACAACCATTAAAAAACGTTTTCAGAAAGGTGTCAAATACCCTATTAAGAGTATAGCTACCTTCAAAACAAATACTATTGGATACATTCACAATACAAACATTTAATATTTTATGGAAACGTTTACATTTATTTAATTAAATTATTTTAAAAATACATTTGACTTTATTAATTTACCCCTGGCCAGGTACATGTTTCCTAGCGCTTATTAAATGTTTTGCAGAATTACTCTGCTTTACGGAATAAATAAATGCTGTTGATGTTACAGACCGACAACCCTATTACTACTAAATGCACAAACACTTATATCAGACAGAACTATGTAGAAGTTTCCATTTTATTCATGTACGCTGTGATATGAAATTCATATTGGTGAATTTATATCGGGACTAGTTTACGCCCGCGATCTCACCTTTCTAGACTATGGACTGTCAAATCAAATGTATATATTTCCATAAATTTTATTTTGAAAATATTATGAGGAACTAATAATTTAAAACCAACGAGGTTGTTCTAATAAATATCTTAAAAAACATCGAAGTCTTAAAATAGACCTGCCCTGCGAGCCAGTTGCTTTATTTAAATGAAATCATGTGTTGAAGTTCATATTCATGGTCACAAATGCTTACGGAATACGAAATAACAGTTTATCTATACAAGATCAAGTGTCAAAATGGAGATCGAGTGGAGAGCGCCGATATTGACATTTCAGAATTGCGAATTATTAATATAAAAAAACGTATGTCATTTTGCCACATTGGAGTTGCTCACTTTTTGCGATGATTACTATTTTAAATTGTCAGCTTAGTTAAGCGGGGAATTCACTAGACAGACATGGCTGCGCGCAAGTCTGCCGGGCATGTCTGTCGTTCACAACACACTACACAGACTCGTCAGTTAGAGTTCGATGCGCTAAGCGACTGGTTATGTTATCGATGCATATTATTTATTACAATGGCTACGAAACGGAGAAAAATAGCATAAATTTCTGCTGTAGTAATTATATTTGACGAAAACAAAAAGAAAAGAGTTTGGTGTAAAGAATGGTACAGAAACAGAAATAAGTTGAGACCATACAGTATATTATATAGTAGTTAGTTGAGACATATAAATAATTAGAAACTGATGAACCAGGTGATTTATGCAATGAGGAAGTATTTAAAAAATAAAAATAATTTTAAATATTTTCTCATAAAATTTAGAAATAACCAATCACACTATCGTATTTTATTAAAAAACCTATCTTAGTACCTCAGACCCGTCTTTACCCATGCTGCAGGGGGTGCAATGCACCCGGGCGTCGCGCGTTTTATATAAACAATGTTATTTATATTTAATAAGTTTATATAAGACGGCGCTAGCTACATTATATTTTAGCTTATCTTTACACATCCAAGAAACTCCCAATTTTTTTCTTCTTTTCAGATATTGATTAGTATTTGCGTATAAGATGTTGGGCGGCAGTGTGCTATGGTTCCGTCACGGGCTGAGGTTGCACGACAACCCATCGTTGCTCAGCGCGTTGGAGGACAGGCGGATGCCATTATTCCCTATCTTCATATTTGATGGGGAAACTGCAGGTGAGATCATAGATGCTTCTATAAAACATGCGACCGTCAGTTTTGACATCGGAAATATGCTGATGATATTTTTAATAGAATCTGTTGAGTGTCGTGCGGTGCGCACTTGCTGACATATGGACGCTCACCTCTATTGTCTATGTTCCTTTAAACCGGTTTCCATTTTGTTTAGAAATTTTTAGATTTTTTTAAATTTTACTTTATATATTTGGTTTATATTATCAGTTAGAAAAAATAGGTACATACATGGTAGATAATTTATTTTTAACAATTATTCTGAACATAGTAATAGTTAGTAGTACCCTTTTAGTTGAAATTGTTCGGTAAGTGCATGTAGAAATTCTATGCAATTTCGCGTCATGCTCGCTTCGCTTTACGTACGTTTTAATCAGATATAATAATATATGACGTAAGAAAAACAAACCGCTTAGGATCACCCGCGTATCCGTTTTGAGAATAATTAGAAAGAAAATAGTTCGACGGTTTTAAAATTTAATATTTCTACGTAATTCTCTGTGCACAAGTCCGATTTCCATACCGTTACACTACTACAAGTGCACCAGAAGCGTCTTCTATTTTACCTTTGTGATTTTCCCATTGCTTGCTCCCGTGGCGGTATCGAATAGCCGCATCGGGCGTAGGTATCCGACATTTGACCCAGTCGTAGGGCATCGAATTGCCCTGTAGTAAATAAACTAGGGATGTTGCGGATGCGGATATTGATGCCGATGCGGATGTCGAGTTGTGATGGTTAATATCCGACGATGCGGAAGCGGAGTTAAAGATTTTTTTAAGTTTGCTAATACAATAAGAAATAATTAAATAAAACTATTTTAAACGAGTGTAGCGCGTTTATATTTGATTTCATGACGTTTCGGACCCTTTATATAAACGCGTTTCATCCGTTTAAAATAGTTTTATTTAATGAGTAGTGCGCGTCAAAATACAAGTTTTTTTTTTTAATTTGTAGGATTCGTAGGAACGGTATCCTCAGCCGTAATGTCTCTAGTAGTCTCTCAACAGAATCGACAACATTATACATTATTAAATGAAGTTTATCTTGAATTAATAACATTAATAGTAATTATCTATAAATTGTAATGTAACAATAAATAATTTCAATATAATTATTTCAGTATGTAGTACAACAATCATATTATAGTACTTATTCCAATACACATTATAATTAGATTAGAAAAATATATTTTTTCAAATGCTATAATAATATTTTTCAAATAAAATATGGTTCAGGTACGAAGTTGGTGGGATACAATCGCATGAGGTATCTGCTGGAAGCTCTCGATGATCTGGACTGTCAGTTCAAGAAGTTCGGTGGGCGTCTTATTATGCTCAAGGGGAAACCTAACATCGTCTTCAGACGATTGTGGGAAGAATTCGGTTAGTATATATGTGTGATTTTATTACATTCCTAAAATTCTCTAATCTGATTAAAAATGTATGAAAAAGTATCACTTCTTTTTATGAAAATTACTCTGATGTCTACATTTTTTTTATATATTTCAAGCTTTAAATTTTCTGTTCGGATGTTTATCATATCAAAACTTTTGTAGGCATTCGTAAGCTGTGCTTTGAGCAGGACTGTGAGCCGGTATGGCGCGCGCGCGACGACAGCGTCAAGAACGAATGCCGCGAGATCGGCGTCAAGTGTGTCGAACACGTTTCCCACACGCTCTGGGAACCTGACATGGTTATAAAGGCCAACGGTGGCATCCCACCGCTCACATACCAGATGTTCCTGGTGAGATTGCATGCACAAATAGATACTGCCAATGCCTTTTGTGATGAGTGTCAGCAGATCAAGTGACGTTTTTGTGACGAGTATCATTTGATCGTGTTAATTTTGTGACGAGTGTGTCATTTAATCGCGTGAGTCAGCACGAGTGTCAGCAGGTCATATGACATATTTTACAAGTAGAACTCTCTTGACAAAAGAGTACTGCCGCGATCGGACTACACTTGCTATTAAATGTTTTATTTTATCGCGTAGCTAATTACGTGACCTGTTACAAGCATGTCATTATAATGTGACAACAATATTAGCTAATTATTTGACTTCGTATGACAAGTGTTAGCTGATCGCGCAACTCCTTTTGTTTGACGATCAAGTACCAATTATTGATTTAAAAGATTAGTTTAAGCCGAGTGGTTCGCACGCCGGTTTCAAGGTGTCACTATCTCTGAGGTCCTGGGTTCGATTCCCGGTCGGGTCAATGTAGAAAATGAACTTTTCTATATTGTCGTAGGTCCGGGTGTTATGGTACCTTCGTTGTCTCAGATACTCCATAATACGGGGGCTTTAGCTACTCATCTTGGAATCTGAGCAGTGTATGTGATGTTGTTATATATTTATTTATTTTACTCTAGCATACAGTAGCCACAATCGGCGACCCACCCAGGCCTGTTATGGAAGCCGATCTGTGCGGGGTGAAATTTGGTAGTCTGCCACAGTGTTTCTATGAAGAGTTCACCGTTTTTGATAAGGTAGGAGTGTCATTACAACATAATATGTGATAGTACAAAGTAAAAGGTGCAGAAAGTTCACTCTACAAAGCATTCTATAGCGTAATAGAGATGTTTTATTTAATTAAATAATAGGGATGATGACTGGGTAAAAAAATGCAATTCTATTTAGTCCGTCAGTCAGATAATAGAAAAATATTAGATACGTATTTTTTTTTACTTCAATTTAACAAGAAATAGCTTAGATAACAGGAATTAAAGTTGAGGAGTGGAGGCTCGCTACGTCACAGTTGAGTAGAAAACGTACTCTAACGTGACGTCATGCGAAATTTCAACTCAATGACACGCTGTAATTTTATGATTACGAAAAAAATAAAAAAATGCGTGTTTAATATTTTTTAACACTCTAACTGACGCACAAACAAACAAAAATTAGTCATCATCCCTATTATTAATGATCAATTAAGGTGGTTTATTTCGAGTCATTATCATTTGTCATCATAGGTACGTGCTAGGTACCATTTCTTTTATTTTATTCAACGGTTTTCACTAACCTAGAACAAAGCATAGATCATCTAATCTTACGTATCGCCTAAGTATATTAGTTTACATTTTTTTCTTTGATCCCTTGACACATTTATTACCTGTCATATTACGTAAATGCCTAGCGCAAGGCGCCGAATAACGTACCTCATAACTTTAGACATTGGTTAATGCCGTTAGGTGTTTTCAACTCTGAAAATGAAATGTATGTTTACCTTAATAATACTCTTTATTGCACACAAAAAAAAAACATACATAAAAGTGTCAAGTAAAAGTAATGACAAAGGTGGACTTATCTCTATTAGAGATCTCTTCCAGTCAACCGAGACGTTGTAGGAGAGTGAGATGTCTGCGGGTGAAACCTACATATATAATAAGGAGCGATGAATATATACTGTCATGAATTGTGCTAGAAAGTAGTCTATGAGTTGAGTTTTCTAAATGATCATGGAAGGGCAATCCTGAATGTTTAGGGGAAGTCTGTTCTACAATTGAACTCTTCGAACAGAAAAGGATTTGGGCGACTTCTAAGTTTAGTGAAAACGAGCATTACTGTAAATAGCAGCGCTTGGCTCCGCCCAGCGATGCTAAGTACAAATACTAAGTGGTTTTCCTGATGAAGTATTGAGACCCTGTTACGCAAATACCAGCCAGACATATAAATGTGAAGTTTGTAGAACAATGCACTTTACTCAAAGCTTGTTCGGCTTTGAGTCGTAGGTAGTAATATTGCATTTGTATAACTTCGCTTAACATGTTTTCGACTTTGGACGTAAACTTTGTCAATTAACTTTAAGAGTCTGTAATCTTTAACTCCTGAATGGTGAATTCACAGTTTTGTTATCGCACCAAACAATAGTTGCCTTCGGCGATAGTACTCTCTAGAGTATAATTTTGAGGTACGTATAGCTCTAACATCTAAACGCAGTGGTGAATTATAGCACCTTCCAGCTGTAACCGAATAGTGTATTTGATATATTAAGTTTATGAACAAACAATAAGTAACTATTATAAATCGACAAAGAATCTTCATTCGTGACAGATTTAGAGACAGTAAATAATTGTACTTTTATAAGAAATGTTACTGTAGTTTAATTTATAAAAAGAAATAAAGGATAGTATTAAAGGCTTTAAAGTTGAGGAGTGGGAGCTCGCTACGTCCCGACTAGTTCAAAAATGTACAAAAGCGTAAATTATTGATTACCCAACAAATAACATGACGAATAAACAAACAAAATTTAGTCTTCATCCCTATTGTGGGCTGTTAAAACTTCTAAGCTTCAAACTGTTGACGTTACCATATTGGCTACGAATTATAATGCGGTGACAAGACGGCAATTGTTCGTTCAGACGCCGAAGCCGGAAGACTTCGGTGTGTTCCTCGAGAACGAGGACATTCGCATGATCCGGTGGGTGGGCGGGGAGACCGCCGCCCTCAAGCAGATGCAGCAACGGTTGAACGTGGAACATGAAACCTTCTGCAGGTATCTAGCATGGAGATCTAGTTTTCATTTTAGGTATCTGTTAGGATTGCTGAACTGCATTTTGCAGTTTGGTAACTTTAAAACAACAATTTGTTATTGATATCAACCGTTTTAGCTATATATTGTCATTTCAGTGCTACGCAAATATCGAACATGTGGGTGGGGCATATAATTGATTTGTTTATTTTTGATTACGTTAGGGCCCAGACCTTTAAATGATCTAGATGATGCTTGGAGCGTCAGCAAAATTTAATTTTTGTCAAATAATGTATAGCACTTATTACAATAATGTATAATATAATTATCACTGTTTACATTATAGTGGGGGAGAAGAAAAAAATAATATAATATTATATTTCTTTTAGAGGTTCGTATCTGCCTACCCACGGCAGCCCGGATTTACTCGGTCCGCCCATATCTCTGAGTCCGGCGCTCCGGTTTGGTTGTCTCTCAGTGAGAAGGTCAGTCGAAGCTTTTTTCCTTCGCTTAATGGTCTTGTCTTATACATATAAAACATCATCTTAAATCACTCTTTATATTGATGAAAACCGAATTAAATCTAGTGTGAAGTTTAAATATTTTCAGCGTATAGAAAACGAGAAGCGACTTTGTTTTATTCTATGTAGAGAAAACTTATCGCTGTGCCTCCATTAAGAAATAAGAAATAAAGTTTAAAATTAATATTTGAATTATTAAAATTGCATCAGCCTATGTAAAAAGAAGAAGTATGTATCTGCACTGCAAGAAACACAAAAACCGGACAAGTGTAAGTAGGGTTGCCACCTTTTTTTCCAAATTAAGTACATTAGTTATTACATAATAGGTACAGTAAAAAATACATAGAATCAAAACAAAGTATTATTTATTGATTTAGCATGAATCGATAAATTTTATTTAACGAAAAAATACTTACGATTAGGCTTCAAAATCACAAATAAATTAAATCATGCGATATGAAGTATTTTCGTGTACTTTATTGTTCTTATAGAGTGGAGTACAATTGTCTGAAATAACGTACAATATTTTATTAGAAAGTACGGGTGGTAACCCTAAGTGTAAGTCGCACTCTTGCACAGAGAGTTACGTACCGGAAACGAGCAAAAAACACTTTATTCTGTTTTTTTTTTGTATTTGTTCATAAGCATCGCTATAAAACGGCTACAGAAATGCATCATGTGTGAAAATTGACAACTGTCTATTATTGTAGATACAGCCTGATGTCAGACGGACGGACAGCGGGATCTTAGTAATAGGGTCCCGTTTTTTACCCTTTGGATACGGAAGCATAAAAACGACCTAATTGCATAAATAAAACCAATCGAGGAAATTGTGGGACGCTTTTTAAATAATATTTAATTTTCTACCTTATACCATTTAGATTGTACTGAGAACAATATGAAATATTTAAATTAATAATACTATTAATTAGGGAGTTAACCTATTGCAATATGTATTTGTAAGTATTTGTTTTGTACATTTTTTTTTCAGATTTTACTGGTCGATGCAAGATCTTTTCCGTAAAGTACATCAAGGTCGGCTGTCCTCCACTCATTTCATTACAGGTGAGACGATGAAAAAGGTTTTAATCGCATGTTTTATAAGGACTAAAAATATATATTTAATTTAAATAGAATCAGGCGTTATCTTGCGCAATTCCATTGCAGTAACAGTAAAATTATGATATATATCAACTTCCAACTAGTCAGTACTTGCTTAATATTTTTACATCGCCATTTATAAATACACGTGCATATCACCATAATCAGCCTCTTTATGTCCCGACCGCATGAAATAGTACAGGCCCACTGTACACCACGGGGACCCGATGGATTAATGGGTTTTAGTTATTAATAACAGCAGAGGTAACTAGGATCAAGGATCAACAACTTAACGTACTTTCTGAAGCACGGAGAAGCTGGATATAAAGTATATTTGCTTATCCACAATACATTATCTTGAGCGACGTCTACAAGTCGCTTAAACATTTTGCAGCCATTACTCTACGATATTTACGAATATCCTCGGCAGTTGTTATACCTTGCAGTGTCCACCATGGTGGCCATCATAGTTTTCTAGTAATAGAAAATTTACTGATAGCGAATTGAAACTTTTACAACTCACAAGCATTAATCAGGATTATTCAAGACATGTTATCATAACATGGATATTCTTGACAACTTAAGATTTTAATATAAGTTGCTAGTATAGTACAGGTACTAGGAAAAATAATTTTGATCATTTTTTTTTAACTAATTCCAGCGACGACAATTTCGTATAATAAAGTTTCAAGCTTACTTTAAAATCTCTAAAAATCTAAGTCATATCCGTATTAATATATATGGTATCGAGCCAAAACTATATATTGCACTGGTTCATATGTAATATAGTTAGAAATATACTGTCTGTGTCTATATACGATTTCTCGTATAATTATTTTCTAAATCGATTTATCAACTAAAGCGTACGTGCATTAGTATTTCCAAATATTAAATCCTTTTAAATAAAGTCTATTAGTAGCTACCCGATCTAAGGTTATTAACTATAAAATCTCGATTGCAGGTCAATTAATTTGGCGTGAATATTTCTATACTATGAGCGTAAACAATCCCAACTACGGACAGATGGCAGGCAACCCTATCTGTTTGGACATCCCCTGGAAAAATCCTGAAGGTGACGAACTGCAGAGGTAAATTTTTCAATGATAATAATTTTGATTTGTGGAAGTCGTTTATACTCTACGTAAATTATGATGAAGAATATAGTTGTAATGATAGCTGACACAACTGTTAACCTACTTGCCGTCCGAATGTGGAACTTACGCCGCCATCTTGTAAAATGTCAATGTTCGCATAGAGATAGATTTACTTTCATAGGCAGTATTGTCAGATGCACTATAATTACAGTAGATTTACTTTATCTTTATGTCATCTACTGTAAACAGTTTTTAATGAAAATACAGTTAAAAATTAGTTTAATAGAGACATTGTGAATTTAATAGGCGTTAATTTTTATCCCGAATCCTAGCTCGTAACATTTACGTAAGATTGAATTTAGAATTATGAACGCGAACAATTTAGAAGACTCCATCCGTGAGAATTTTCCGTGCGTCACAAGTTGGATTATCTGGCGGAAACCGGTAAAGCCGTCAAAACTATAGAACTTGCGTAGGTAATGTGTAAAAATGAAAAAACAACAACAAACTCCCCGGATCAAAGGAGATTTTTGGCATCGACCACCCTGGTTTCACACCTCTGCCCCTCTGCCAGTGTCATCCGAGTGTCAAAAGATCCTCGTGGCACTGCGCAATGTATAGTGTTTGTGTGTCTCGCGTGTGCGCACGAGGTGGAGGGCCCCGCCCCTCTGCCGGTGTCATCCGAGTGTTTAAAGATCCGCGATGGCATTGCGCAATGTATAGTGTTTGAGTGTCTCACGAGGTGGAGGGAGGGCCGCACCGGGTTCCCGTTCGTGGACGCGGCGATGCGGCAGCTGCGCGTGGAGGGCTGGCTGCACCACGCCGTGCGCAACACCGTCGCCTCGTTCCTCACGCGCGGCACGCTGTGGCTGTCCTGGGAGCACGGCCTCGACCACTTCCTCAAGTACCTGCTCGACGCCGACTGGTGAGCGATAGAACCGAGTCGAACAGGCGGATCGGGACTGACGAGTTTGAGATTGTAAATTTTTGGTTACCATTGCGAAAGTTGTTCGACACCCGTATCGCAAACCGAGTTCGCTAGCCGCTATGCCATCGAGCTCCTCTAACACTAGGGCGTCGTATTACAACTTAGCAGTTCGAGTCGATAGGGTGAAGTAGTGTGGATATTTTTGGTGTGTTTTTAATGACTAAATGATTTTAATCGAAAACAATACCTAACCACCAGGGTATCACGTGAGCACCATTTTATATGGTGCTCAAATTAAGTATAATTGCTCCGGTCATTGAAAAAAAAAACATATGCAATCTGAATATTACATTTTAATTTCCTCACCTCTCATAAACACCTCTCATATAATTAAGTAAGTGTAGCCAACTAGTTCTGTTAGTTACTTATCATCAAGTGAAAGTATATAAACTCGAATCACTTGCTCTGACGCATTACACTACGTCAGCAATATTATTGACAGAGTTTCAATGTTAATTTAGTTGAACTGATGTATTTGTCATTGCCGATATGTGCCGACACGGCAGGTCCGTGTGCGCCGGCAACTGGATGTGGGTGTCGTCGAGCGCGTTCGAGGCGCTGCTGGACGCGGGCGAGTGCGCGTGCCCCGTCACGCTCGGGCACCGCCTCGACCCCAGCGGGGAGTACGTGCGCCGCTACGTGCCCGAGCTGGGCCGCCTGCCCGCACTATACATGTGAATATTATATAATATTCTTTTTGTTAACCCATAACACTTATAGTCTATTCGACTTCCTCTGAGACAAAATGTAAACAAACAAACCAATGTTTCTCAAACTTTTCTATTGATGTTGGTGTGTAAATAAACTTTGTTAATGGGACAAATTATTGTATGGTAGGTATGCAATACGATAAGTCTTTTTCTTTTCCAAATAGCAATTGTAAGGTTACATAATTTTCTTCAGAATCTTCATCGTCTTCCTCTGAGGAACTAGTCGCACCGACTTCTATCACAAAACGGTCAACCAAATCATCTATGATACCAATAATTTTTAAAAAAATTTGTTCCTGTTTTATGACATGGTCAATGCACTTTAACACGGTTCCTACTGTTACCCTTTTTAGATCATCGGTTAAAAAAGATTTTATTTCATTTAACTTAAAACTTAGCAATAACAGAAAACAACAGACTTAACAACTGGAAGAAAGAAATAACAAGAATTTAACGAAAGCATTTTGCACGAGTCAACGAGTTGATCGAAAGTAAAAATGGCCGGTATAACCCGACTAATTACAAAATTTCACGTTTCTACGTAAAGTATTTGTCTTATCACTACTCCTTAATTTAATAGTATTATAATACGTCCAATGTTTGAGAACAGCTTCAATTTTAGGTGTTTTTAATGTCACTTTCATTTTTCATTAATTCTAAATGCATTTATATTTTGACATATTAAAGAACCTTTTTCCAGTTTGTTTACATTTTGTCTCAGAGGAAGATGAATAGACTATAGGTTAATTCTACAGCTTGATTTAATAAAAAACGTCTTCAAAAATATCACTAGAGCGGCGAATCTTTATTTAGGTACAAACAGTCAGTTAAGTGACATGACATTTCATATTTAAACTTAAAAGACAAATAGTACCCAGAATTCGCTACAAACGATGCTTATGTTTAGTTAATTGTAAAAGTTATAGGTATATTAAATGTACACTACTATTTGTTACAAAGGAAGAAAATATGTGAATTACAAAAGCGTCAATTAAATTTCTTTATAATTTGTGATTAGAAACTAGCGATAGTGTTACTAAACAAATCTAAGTCCGAGAATTCGTAGTTGTATGTATGAAGACAGCGGGTAAAGTAATTGTTGCGGGTGTAGTTTTTGCGGCATCGAGGTGGCTTACAAATATATTTAGAGAACGTTCTTCATCGATGAGTTAATTTATGTTTGTAAGTAAATGAGACGTTGTCATATTTCACATAAAGATGTGTTACAGAGCCAGTGTTGATTTTATTGAGTTATTATATTATAAAAAATTAAAGCAAAAGATTAGTTCAAAAATTAGCCACATAACATTCGGTCCCACAAATATCGTAGAGTTATGAAATATCAAAATAACATGTCACTCTTCAATCGGTATATTTAAAATGCATTGATTCCAATTATTTTCAAAACAAAACGGCTTGTCTTTCGAATTTTCATATCCATAAGATACCAGATAAACATAATTTAATGAAACATGTTGTATTATATATCTGTCTCGTTAGCTATGAGCCGTGGAAGGCGCCCATAGACGTGCAGGAGCGAGCCAACTGTATAATCGGCAAGGACTATCCCGCGCCCGTCGTCAACCACCTGCTCGCCGCACAGAGGAACAGGCTCGCCATGAAGGTAACGAAACCGACACATTATACTGAATGTACACACGGCTGCACATCACGCTACCACAGTATGTCAAAGAATCATGTCCAATTTTGACCTAAAAATTTACCAACGCGCCTAGTGATGCGACATATTTCAAAAAATTAGACGATTAAATGTTAAATTTTAAATAGTACTATGATAACTACCCGATTCGGACCCTTAAATGACGGTTTGCCACGTTTCGTTTTATATACTACGGAAAAAATATTCTTTCGTCATAAGAAAATTAACAATTACATTTAGATTTATTTCTATATTTACGAGTTAAACTATAAAAAGCTTTGATTTTAATGCATTAATTTAAAGTATATTCACAAATATCTCAAGTTTTGACAGATGTTATAACCTCAAAACATCATCTAAAAATTACGAATTTCCATGGCCTCCAGATGAAATAATGCTAGGATATTATTATATTTAAAGCAAAAACTAATTTAAATCATCTGTAACGGCGGGCAGATGCGACCTTTTAAAACAAAACATGTGACAAGTCAATCAATGAATGGAAAGTGGACATGATTCTTTCCACAATTAATTTTGAACTCTACTTATAATGCGTTAAGGTTAAAAATTAAGTTGAGAAATTTAGCACATCAGGACCTCTAGTATGCTCATATTAATGTGATAATCACATTACAATATCATCTTTTCTGTGCACGTTTCTTTTTACAGTAAGATTATAAGTTATCTTCATTCAAATAGACTTAAAGAAACTAGTTTTGTATCGTTCGATATTTTTATATACTGACACTATTAGATTATGACGTCACTTTCCGTTAAAATATTAAAAATGAAGAAAAAAATACTATGATCTTTAAATGTTAATATAATAAACACTATATAAATTTAAAAACATAAATGGCTGGAACTCCCTATGTCCGAGTATTAGTATCACTTACATATTATAAAATAAAATCCTCCGTCGCGTTTGTCTGTTTATTCGTTCGCGAAAACTCGGACAGTACTGTACGAATTTGTATGCAGTTTACAATAACAGGGAGAGTGATCCCTGTAGAAGGTTTTATTGTATAATCATTTTAAGTTTTGTGTAATGTGACGATATTAGTTCAAAATATCGGAAAAAGTGAAGCCGATCGGGAGCATTCCTCGAAAACGCTGCCAAAACCTTTTCAGTTATTATAACAAAACAATGTATGGTGGGATTGTACCTCTTTAATAGGAAAAAGTCCGCGATGGTGTCTATCTTCCAAGGATAACCTACAAAATTAAATATTACATAAAATGATCGGTTACTGAACCTATTTTTAACAGTACAGTATCAAATCAATATTCAATTAGATACGTTATGCATTTAATGTAGATAAAAATTGCGTGAGAAATTAAATATCGATGGAGCGTAGCCCACTTGTTATTACCGTCCCCGCACCGCGCCTTCACGCCCCCTGTCGTCCTTAAATGCTATAAACCGAGCGCCATCGCGCGCAATAGGGGATCGGACAACTTTCTAAAAAGTATTTTAAATTAATAATTATGGGCGTTTATTCCACAAAAATTAATCTAAGTTTAAAATTCGGAGGACATGACATCATTTGGGCTAAACAAAAAGGATTTTTAGTGAAAAAAAAGAATCATCGTCTGCAGTAGGTACTTTTATTTAAACTCTCAAATAAGTATATAAAACAGTAAACTGAACCTTGTAATCTGTTAAAAATATAAAAAAAAAACATTAAAATTATTTTGCACTTTTAATGTTTTGCCGCGCTTTTCAACATTCAGAGAATGATTTTTTAACTTTCATCACTTCTTGACCACACACAATTTAGTTTTTTTATTTTATTGCCGTCAGATCGCCTATTCCTATTATACTTTAGACGTGTTTGAAAATAGATGTTTCCAGTTGTAAATTTTTTGGATGCTCATGATCAGAGATGTGACTTATCTTAGATACAAGTATTTGAAATACAGATACAAGATACAAAATACGTATTTTCATCTTATACCTATCTAAAATACTTTTTTTAGGAAGTATTTTGTATCTTGTATTTAAATACTTTTGTTTAGTATCTTAGTATCTTTTAAATACTTTTTCTGATAAAATACTTTATAAAAAGATTATTTCTTACATTTTATATATATCACAAAACATTCTTTGCCTAAAACATACATATTTACAAAAAGAAAGTGTTCAATTATCAACACAATGAATATTTAATTAAAAATAACTCGAATCCAAACATTGTTTGGTGTCATTTAAAAAGTAAATGCGTAGAACTGAACGTACGGTTATACCGGTGTAATACACCCTCCCTAGTAAAAATTGATAGATGGCGCATAGCATAGGGTTTGAAATCGAATAACCAGTTACAAGCAATAAAAAATCTTGATTTATGTAAAAACCCGGTTATGTGCTATAAATAAAACTCAGTATATCAATTAAACTCATTATTAAATTTTATTATTTTTTTGCACATTATACTTTTTCCACTAACAACAGCATTCAAAAAGTTTATTTTGAAAGAAATTTCACTGTGAAATTCGATACATGGCAAATGCTTGAAATTATATCCCATGAGCAAAGCAATATTGATTTTATTGACTCAACAGTTAATCTTTTTCTATCTTTTGACCACTGCATATTCATGAGCGAAAATAAAATCAATATTCGCATTATGAGGCATAATAAAAAAAATACTGACAAATCTTCAGTAGTTCGGAAACGAGTGCTGTCATTGCATATATTGAAAATAATTACCCACTGCTTTTCAACTAATTCGTCATAAAAATAAATTTGTTAATAGAAAAAATTCTTCAAATAATTTCTTTTACATCGTCAATTAATACTCCTTTATTTTTCAAAAATACAACACAATCTGTGATGTAATCGTATAGTAGATTTTGCTTTAATAAGTAACCATTTAATTCAAGGGATCTTTATTGAGAAACAACAAAAAAATGGGCGGAGTCCTGTCTTAATATTAGGCCTTTACCTATGTAATTGCCGTTCTGCTGTACTAGCCATTTAAAATCAAACTATATTTTTACCCACTCTCTTCATCTCACTAGGAAAAAATGAATTTTCAGTTCTCCGTAATTTTACGTCGTACGTAAAACCAGCTTTTTAAATAAATAATAATTTTATAATTAAACTAGTGGACGCCCGCGACTTCGTCCGCGTGGAAGTCGGTATCCCGTGGGAGTGAGAAGTTTTCCCAGTAAAAAGTACCCTATGTGTTATTCTGATGTATAACCTATATTGCTGTAAAGTTTTATCCAAATCCGTCCAGTAGTTTTTTCGTGAAAGAGTAACAAACATCCATACATCCATACTTACAAACTTTCGCCTTTATAATATTAATAGGATTTAAATAATTATTCTTGTTGTTATATTTCAGCAATTTTTCATTCACAATGCTATATTGAAAAAAAATATTATTAAAAGGAACTAAAAAATTTAAAATAAATATTTGCATTTTTATATGTTACATTGTGATTGACAAACAAATAAAACGGAGGAAAAGAGGGTGAAATTTAGCTTGTAAGATTTGAGTACAAACACAGGTGAAACCAAATAAAAGCTTACAAAAATTGTTTCTAATGAAAAATGCTTAAAAAATCCACTTTGTCCCTGGAACCATCTGGTCTAAGATTTAGGTTTTTGTGGTCTTTAATAAACAAACTTAAATTCAAATCTTTTTTTAGAAAAGTATACCCATTTAAATGTTGTGATCACTAGATATATCGATTATAATTTATTGTTTTAAGGACAAAAGTTGAGTGTTGCTTCTTTGTATTTTGACATAGTTTCGTTTGAATAATTTTTATTGTGATTTGTGCATAACTCCCGAACGGCTACATCAATTTGGATGATTCTTATATTTAAGTGTTCCTTTATTCTCGGGTCAGGACAAGGTTTGTATTTAAGAAAATTTATAAAAAAAGTACTCAGTTGCCACTGGAGAAATAAAATTGACGGTGCGAAGTTCGCCGGCTTAGCTAATTTGCTATATATTAAAGATCGGACACCTATCAATAAGTGTTCTTAACCAGTATTTTTATACTGCTTCCCTGTACGTACAGAAAATGAAATTTATATCGCGGCAAGTTTTCTCCAATAAGAATCAGAGAATGGTTCAAGTATCGCGCCATCTTGCGACTCCACCAATAACCACGCGTCTGTATCTCGCATAGTACGAGTGTGACAGACGCTTAAAGCGTTGCATTTTATACTTTACGGTTATTGAATCAAGACTCACTGTAGATTTTAATCATTCGTTCAGCTATCGTCGGAATTTGTAAATCTGTTCTGCGTGAACACAGATTCACCAAGCGTCATATTAATTGGATCTTACTGTACAGGATTATAAAAAAACAAGTACATCTGTCTCCATTGATGTATCAAGACTCTAATTTACTGATGTTTGTGGTCCAAGTAGATAATACAGCAACTTCTTTTTAATTAACTGAGACGCCTTTTCTGCTTTAACATTAATAGAATAAAGGTTGTTTTCTATTTAATTTTTTAATTCCTCAATGCAATATGAATTAACTGCTATTCAATAAACGCTTAAAATCGATTGGGGAAATTTAAGATTTTCATCCGATGTGCTGTTATATGTAGACGTATATTGAAATTGATAAAAACGAGGTCAACAACCTCAAGCGGGATTCGAACCCGTGTAATAGGAATGCTAAGTTGATTTGATTTTTGAACCGATTTAAACAAGAAGGTTATAAATTTGAACTACATGTTTGAATTATATTAATATTACGTTAGTCGACCCAGGCTTCTAAGAACGCGTGATACGTTTTATAAGTATACCTATGTACGTCTGTATATTTTTTACGACTACGTAAAAAGAGATCTATCTCGGAAGCAATTCTGTTTCTAGATATAATATCATTCAATTTAGTGAAAAAAAAAACATTACAAGTTTCATTTGAATCGGTTCAGTAATCTTCAAGATATAGATTATTAAGTTTAGAACTGACTTCAAAAAGCGATACTAGCGACAGCACGTTTATTGACATTAAAAATAACTGGCTTATATCTATTATTTCATAAAATCTCCTTCCTGTTCCAAAGAAAATTGTATATACTCGTACATCTAAATTATAGGTATTGTCTTCAGTTTTGTTAATCTATGTGTATTAATTATTACGAAATATATAAGATATATGTATATATAGAAACTTATGTATATTTTGATGGAAAGTGTAGAACCCTAAAGCGGCATTTATATTAGTCCCGCGCCAAGGCGTCACAGGCGGGTAGAGTATCATTAGCTTCTAGCTATATTTTGTAGTTGTATTCGTGGTGGGCTAAATATAACCGCCGCTTTAATTGTACGGGGCACACGCCCGGGTATTTATTTTAATGTTATTTATAAGTAATTTTGAACTTTCCACAGCATCACACCAGGTTACTATAAAATGTCCACAATAGGATTTTAAACTATACTCCTAACGTATTAAGGTTCAAAATAAATGGGAGTTTTGTATAACCCGATGTGTTGTTGACTGTACATTAATCTTCAGTTGATTTTCTCATGGACACAGTCAACTGTATTCAACGTTTCGCAGCCGACGTCACTTCGTAAGAAATCTCCTTTATAATTAATTATCGAGGAAGTTGAAAAAAAGTGTTCGGTACAGGAGGATTCTGAGGCCTTACCATTAACTCCTAACGAGAAACGAGACAGCTTTATCTTGATTTATTTGTTTTCGCACTGAGATTTGTTTTATCGATGCTAATTTGAAGAATATATAACTTGTATATAAATCTGTAATGTTAAATATAATATATATGGCTTGCCGATGAATCTGCGCAGTAGACTAAATATCCAAGCACATTTTATTTTACACATAATAAAAATAAGACTGATTTAATCGTACATTCTTTTATCTTTGATTTGAGATGTTGTTTGTGCTAACAAAGATTAGAGACACGGCATATTTTTCGGGTTTTCAAAAAATACTACACTTAAGTTAGGAGTTGACGATAATGGACCGTTAGTATCGCCCAAGAGTCACTGTGTTCTTCCTCAGACAATGAGAAGAACGTTGCTCGGGCGGCGTCCCGACAAGAGACAATGGTTGAAAGTAGTCGGGGTTCGTACAAAGCACGCTCGGTGCAGCGCCGCGCAAACTGTGTGGCGACGCTGTGGAGGGTGCGCAAGCGCATTGGCTAATTTTTTTAGTGTTACTGGGACGCGGTAGTTAGAACATTAAGTATTTAAAAAAAAACTGTGTTATTATTATAGGTACGTAAATAAAATATGCTAAGTAGTCGTTTGCTTTAAGTTGGCCGTCGACGACCGTTACTAAATGACACCATATTAACTGGCACCGTCCACAAAGAAATAGTGTAAGATTCTATTTTTACTCGACTTAATATCCATCTTTAATGACTTTATATTAATTCTTTAATGAGATTGGGGGGTCGATATTCTTTACGCAACGATTATGAAATTAAAAAAGAAGTGATAATAACGACCGGCAACGGTAGACGTAGGCGATGGCGTTGCTAGCGGTACTTGGGGGAGTTTGTTTGGAAGCGGAGTGAGTGGTAGCGGCCAACTCGAAACGATATAAATAATTTTTGTGGTAATAATTTAGACACTAGAGTGACATAGGCTGAAGAAACAATATGTAATTACCATTGGGAAATCCTAAATATTGCGTTTCCATTTCACCAAGAGTGAGCCTATTACAAATAAATAAAAAAAAACACGCTGGAAAATATTGGGTAACAGTTAGTAAATGCCCGCCCATGACCCAATAAAATCTAGGAACAGACAGTCTTTGCCACGGAGGTTATATGCATATCAGTATGATTGTGAGGTCCCAGTACAAATAATTTTCAATAAGAATTAAAAAAATATATGCACCTTAATTCACAGCCGTCATTTAAGTTTGCATGGCGCTGTTCATAATGTATGTTCTCAGACGCAGTATGTAACAATATATCATAAATTAAAAAACTAAGATAAAACATAATCCACTTAGAATACGACGCTATAAGCTCAAACTACAATCTGTTATTATCATAAAAGAATTAAATGTTATTATAATTGACAAATGAAGTATCATCAAATAAGATTATTAAATCTATTTAGTGACAGTCAAAAGCAATTTATATGAATATATTATTTTTATCTGCGTCTGGGTACAGATACGGGCATTATTTACTTATCTTTTTATATCGAAGCTGGTCTAGAAAAATATTATATTTTTAAGACTTTCAACATTATGCATTTATTGTACACAAATTAAATAAATAGATTTAAAACGCAAAATAATATTTTTCTAGAATAGTTACTCAGGAGGAAAGGTATCTTATAAATACACCTGCTCATGACATTACAAAAGATTTCTGATTGGATTTTTAAAATACACACATTGAAAGGGTTTTGAATATTTTGTCTGTATAACCATTAATTGTTTTTCAATGACCGCAGCAAAATAGATTGATAAATATAATAGGTTTCATAACCAACTAAATTTTCAAACCTCTTTGCGTGTCTCATTATACAAAATTGAACTTTATTGCAGGTTATGAAACAGATATTTTTGGACTGTATTATTAATCATTACTTTTATTTTTGAATACGCCTTGTTTTTTTTTTTCATAGAATAAAATATATGTATATCTGACAGAAGATGTGTCGCGTATCGTCGGAATATCAGTCGCTTTCTAAAGCATACTTCTGTGACACGAAAAACCACCATCACCACGATCAGGGGCCTAATTGTCTAACTTTAAAATCTGTCGGTTTGAAAGATGTTGTATAACCATTGCTTGTTTCTGAAGACAGTTGAAAAAAAAGTATTTGTATTATGCAGCAATGGTTGTGCAACACCTTTCAAACTGAAAGCGATTGCAATAGATTTAAAATTAGACAATCAGGGGGCAGAACCTGATACGGAGATCTCACGGAAGTATGCGTTTGCGACGGATCTTCCGTGAAATGTTTTAAATACTAACTTTCAGCCCGCGGCATCGCCCGCATGTTATTTGGTTTTTATCACCGTATATTCATACCATATTTAAACTATGGGAAAGAATGGCTAATGAATTAAGTCCGCCTATGTACGTACATGTATTGAGCTAGGTCTTTTCCCAAGGTTTTATTAAAATTGGTGCAATAGTTTAGACGTATAAAAATGTAACAGAGGGAGAGAGAGAGAGAGAAAGAGAGACGGAGTTACTTTCGGATTTATAATAATATGGATTTTTTTCAACATATCCTGTACTTTCTATATCGTAAAAATCAGTAACTGAATTAGAATTCACTGGTGTGTCCGAATATACAATAAAAACAATAAAAATACTAAACAAGATTAATTGATTATACGTGTCTCAAATATTTTATCACTATCGCCCGGTTTCTGAATTGAGAATTTGAAGTTGAGCACGTCTCAAACCGTGCTTAAGCCACTTTAAATGTCATTAAAACATGTTTTCATTGCTGATTTATAAATTTTTAATTATCAGTTGATAGCAATATGGTAAATCTAATACTTTTTGCCATATGAAACGTAAAAAAACTTAATTTATTAAGAATAATCAGTTGAGATTTTGTACTTTCTCAATTCAGAAACCGGCCGTATGTCATTTCGAAACTTCAGTTATGCCACGAAACGTTATAACCAATTCAAGGTTGAGCGGATGCCGCTTTTAAAATAATTTGTACACCCGAGTGAATTTGAATCAGGGTTCGGATTTTTACTGAATCGCTAGACTGATGTTTGATACGCGACGAATTTTCCGTCAGATATGCACCGACCCTTAATTTAATATAAAAGGTGATAATTCTTTATCAAGACGAGAATATGGTAGTGCAATCTGTTGCACTACAAAGAAACATTTTATTTCATAGAATTTCGATTCATAATCTGCATAATATTGATTGGCGCATCAAATCGATAAACATACTTCTTTATAAATATAAATAAAAAGTTATTGACAATTTAAAATATTTTTTATGCAATGTTTAGGAGCTACGAGAGTTGCTGCAGAAGGCACCGCCACATTGTTGCCCGTCGTCAGATGATGAAATCAGACAATTCATGTGGTTGAATGAAGAGAATCAGCCGACGAACGCTATCGCCACCAATTGAAATGTATACATTTTGATTACTTTATTAGATATTTTCATTCGAGCGAGTTTAAACCTGTTCGAATGATTCCGCTGTCGCGGTTCGGTGTTTATAGCGAAATTATCGGAACAACTACGTAGTAAATTTACAATTTGACAATATGAAACTGTTTTGGGCCATAACATAAACAATAGTTTATCATATGACGTGATCAAGTCATAGCAATCTGCCATGTAATTAGTTGAATTTTAATTACAATTAAATATGTATGTTCTCCTGGGGCCGTAGGATAGGGGTCATCCATAAATTACGTCACACTTTAGGGGGGGGGGTCGACGAACTGTGACATTAGAACAATATTTAGTAGAATTTGTATAGATAAATAGGCGAGGGGGGGGGGGGGGGGGGCGGTAAAAATTTGACCCGACCCCATAACGACATCTTAGCTATGTTATCGCGATATTTCGTTTAATTTTACTGCTTTCACATGTATTTTAATAACGACGACGTCTGATAAAGAATGATGATTTTGAATTTGACGCATAGAAGGTACCTATGTTGAAGTAGTAAAATAAAAGGAAATATTGCCACAACTTATGGTTGGAGCATCTCAGAAGAATCTCACCTACTTGTATTTTACCGTTGTTTTTGGCGTAGCTCTCGACTTACACAAGTGCTTGTAACAGCCTAGATAGAATAAATAAATTTGATTTTGATTTTTAAATTTGATTTTGTGCTATCTACCTGAAGTCCAATATTGTTAGTTAGTACAATGGCAAAATTCAAGTCGTTGAGTTTATATTGAGATGCGATTATTACGTAAACATTAGCAGAATAAAGAAGTATTAAAAAAAAGATGGCGACTCTAGCAAAAGTTGATTTTTGCAGGAAACGAATGGACCAAAGATAGTAATTTCCGTTCCTTTTAACTAACATATTAAAAAACTGAAATTTACAAAGTTCGGAACTTAGATATCAATACAAATACCATAAGTACAAATAGAATATGAGCTGTTTATTGAGTCTTGGAAAATAATTTACTCTTATACATGAAATATAACTGGAGAAGTTGTCATGGAGAAATTAATAAAGTACCGTAGCGACATCTAGTTTGATTTCAGGATCAATTTTTTTTTATATTTCCTCATAGGCCTGCTGGTCCTGCTGGTATGGCAGCTATGTACTATATCGATCCCACTAGGCATTACTAATGTCATGTAGATCAAACGTCAAAGAATTTAGTGCAATTTAGATTTAATTGTGTAAGTGTAATTTAGACGAAAAATATATGGTGTTTAGACAGTTAAATAATTAGGAATTAACTTGAGAAACGGATAACAGAAATTAAAAGACAGATTATTTTCACATGACAAATTATTTTAACAGAGAAAAAAAGATTGCAGCTGACATGACCACCGCATCTAGCGGCTTATATTTTTGATTTTTTTAATAGTTACTATTTATATGAGAGAATCTTTAAGATGACGAAGTATTCTTATTAGATAAAATACTTTATTAAACTGAAGTCAATGTACGTATATTTATATATATATATATACTTTTCTTTATAACAAAACTGAGAGTTACCAACAGGGTATTTTGACTCGAATTTTTAAATAATTCTATATTGATGTCTGTAATTGTTTTGACACTATGTTAAGAGGTGTTCAGTGTTAGTTGTTTAGTCAATTTAAGTATTTTTAAGTAGTTAAGCTGTTGCCAAATTCTGTTGATTATTAAGGTTTTTTTTTCAGAGTCTAAAAGTCGGAATAAATTATTTTATGACGCATGTATAATGAGTACTGGTAATATTTGATATTTTAAGTTAATAGGGTATGAAAACGTGTCCGTCAAGCCCCCTTTTTATTAAAATATACTTTATTTCTCTTTTTGTTCAATGTGATTTAACAAAAAATTTTTTGTTTGTATATTTTTTAAATTTAAAATGACAAATGCCTTTGTGTATTTAAAGAAATTGTTGCCAGTAACTATGGATAATTATCAGATATTTATTGGATATTGTCATGATAATAAAAAAAAAATATCTTAATAATCATGAACCCTACAACTAAATAATATGAAAACACATAAAAAATTATACTTTTTCAGTTAGGAGTTTTACAACTGAATTGGCACCAATGTCTATGAGGTAGTTATTATTATTGACTTGCACATTTACATATTTTGGTAGAGAACTTTGTGTCTAGAACTTTGATAATGTTTATGATATATATCAGTGTGTCATATAAATTCTCATATTTTTATTATATATTGTAATTTTGTATGGATGTATTTTAGATATAATAACACATGAGGACTGTGTAATAAATGAATTAAAATTTATTATTTGTAATTTTTTATTAACACTTTAGGAATGATTATTATTCATAATTAATTGTTATTCAAAAATATTAATCTTACTTTAAAAGTATAGTATTTTATAATACAAGGCAATAAACCTTATATGGAACTGAAAATAAATCTATATACAAACAGTTTCCTTACATTTAAATAAATATCTGCAATTACCACTGTATTATAGCCACATTATGAAATGAATTTATGTAGAAATATCATCACTGCATACCACCATTTCTAGAGGATTCGGTCAATTGAGTGACCAGTTCACTGAAAACCTTACTCGTTTTAGAATCTGGTATTTCTTTCACTGCCGCTTTGCCTTCCCCAGCTAGTTTACCAACTCTCGGATCTATAGGTATACTGCCTAGATAAGATATTTTAGCATATTCTGCTAGTGACTTACCACCACCACTGGAAAATATATTTGTGCATTCACTGCATGTGGGGCACTCGAACCTAAAAAAAAATCAAAGAAATCTCATTAATTAGATTGTAAGGTTGTAACAAAACCCATTTAATTAGGTACTATACTTTCAAATTGTTTGAAGATTGGCTAATGTAAACTAACCTATGTGTTAAAGAGAGCATTGTAAACACTATGATGGAGATGTGACCTACCCACTCATATTCTCAATGATGCCATGTATTGAGATGCCTGTTTTCCTGCAGAATGTGATTTCTTTTCTGACATCTTCAATAGCAACTTGTTGCGGGGTAGTTACCAAAATAGCTGAGCATTGTGGTACTTGACGTAGGTTTTCCATCACTGTTATGTGTTCATCTGATGTTCCTGAAAAATCATTGCATATCTATAAATATACAAGATTAGTTCTAGTAAATGTAAAAAAAATCAATGAATATATTGTACATTGTTAAATACTCCAACATTTAAAAATACTCATTAGTCAATTTCATTCAATTATTTAACGTTATAAATTTAATGAGTCCAATACCTGGAGGAGTATCAATCACTAGAAAATCTAAGTCTTGCCAGCACACATCTTCCAAGAACTGCTTGATCATTGATGTTTTCTTAGGTCCTCTCCAAACTACAGCTTCATTACGTGAACTAAGTAGAAAACCAATGGACATAACAGCTAATTTCTGTTCTTTATCCATGTACACTGGTATCCAACCATCAGGCCCTTGGTGTACACTTTGGTTCTCTAGATTCAAAAGGTAGGGAACACTCGGTCCACATAAATCGACATCTAATAGACCAACCTAAAATGTAACAAAATTATTTAAAAACATAAAGTGGATAATAATTTAAAGAAGTTGAAATATAACCTTACCTTGAAACCTTTTTCTTTAAGAGTTAAAGCTAATTGTGTACTAACTGTTGATTTCCCTACTCCACCTTTACCTGAGAGTACTAGGATAACGCGTTTAACGTCTTCTAACATTGTTAAAACAAATAATTATTATAAAAACATTGAGTAAGTATTACAAAACTATTTTGACGATTTTGTTCAAAGACTAGCTGGTACATCCAAAGAGAAAAATAATACAGTGGGAAATTATCTATGGTTCAAAGATTACAATATTATACTCGAGTAACTTGATCGATTTTTACAAACTCGATTATTTAAATAAATAATATGTATTTTATTTACATTATAGAGGTATATCTTTAAAATTACTAAGAAATCTCACTTATTGCAAACATGTACTTGATCTCATTACATTATTGCAATTTTTTTACTTGAGAGAAGTAATGAATTGGCTTGATTGGTTCGAGTCACAAAATCCTACCGAGTCGCATCACTTAGCAAAGTAGGCAGTAGCCAGGGTGGCTGTCTCAAATCTAAAAATCTGCCATCTCCGTCTTTAAAAGTGTCAAAAATATGCCATCATATTTTTTGTGTAATTATTTATCTGCGAAACGAAACTGTCGCTTATTAATGATAATAATATAATATGAAAATTCTACATCCAATAAAATGTTCAAATGACGCACTAAAGTTACAGAGCGATTTAAGAAATTTCTTTGAGTATTGTAATGTCAATAAATTGGAATTAAACTTATCGAAATGCTATGTTTCTTCATATACTCGTAAAACATCACCTATCACATATAACTATATGCTCAATAATATATCTCTAACAAGAATTAATAATATGAAAGATTTGGGAGTAACTTTCGATTCTAAATTACTATTTGATGAACATATAAATAACATAGTTAAAAAGGCTTCTAGGGCCCTTGGTTTTGTGTTACGGATATCGTCTCAATTTTCTAACATAAAAACTTTTAAAATGTTATATTGTGCATATGTACGCAGTCACCTTGAATACGCATCGCCAGTATGGAATCCTTGTTACGATGTTTACTCTTCGAGATTAGAAGGCATCCAGAGGAGGTTTTTACGGTTTCTACAGTTCAGAGCAAAAATTTACTTACCTGATTATTTAACAAGATGTCGAAAATTTCATTCTGTACGAGCGTAGAGAAATAGCAGATCTAACTTATTTTTACAAAATAGCAAATGGCATCATTGACTGTCCTGATTTGTTGGAATTAATTGGTCTCCGTGTTAACACAGCTGCACTAAGAAAACCTAACCTTCTTCATGTTCCCTTAGTTCGTACCAATTATAGGCAAAACTCTTTTATTTTGAGAGCTAGCGCAATGTTCAACACTTTGATCAAGGCAAATGTTGACATCGATTTATTTAATACTTCATTAAACAAACTCAAAGGCCATTTAGTAGACAAATTTTTTGATAAGTGAATTGGTTTTCTTTTTTTTTTCTATCTGGAGCTATAAATATACATAAAATAATGAAATATAAAGTAAAATAAGTAATGCTTACAATCTTAAATGTTATCCTACTATAATTTTAATTTTGTTGCTTTTAGCTGTCGTCTGTTTTTGCCTATTGTTCAATTACCTATAAGTGGAAACTTGTAATTGGCCTTCTTTATAGATATAATAAAAACTATGTATAGTATTACCTAGCTGTAAGTTTTCCTAAGATATTGAAAATAAAAAAATAAAATAAAAATAAAAATAAAAAAATTAAGACAACAATTTTCATAGAAATCTATTTAATATCTTATTGACAGTAACGTAGTTGTATGGAGTTTCTGATGTTAGTAGGTAATAAAAATAATTTCGTATTCTGTTTTTTACACTTATATGACACAACTTACCAATTGCTCCTTAGAATTAGTCTACACTTAAAATTGTACTGATATAAGTCCCATAAATTGCTAATGCGTTAGAACCTGGTCTAAATAACACCTGCGTGACGTCACATGAAAATAAAAAGTATAGATAGAACAAATAATTATTTAAATATTTATGAAAAATCTCCAAAATATTGTTAAAATAATTTAATAACTTTGGGTTTGTTAATTTATTGCATGAATTTTTCGTAAAGAATCAATTTATATGTACATAGTTAAGTTTATAGAAAATTTAAAAAAAAATAGATTAATATACTGTGTAATATCAAACGGAAAAGGAATTTTTTAAACATAACTAAAAGTAAGTAAAGTACTATAAGTACTTAATGTAAAAGTCATAATAGCAATTGTTATTTTAGTCAACCATAACAAGTAACACCAAAACTTAATCAGATAAAAAATAAAGTAAATTATAAAGCATTAAAAATAGAAATAAATAATTACAGATATATTTCAAAGAAGATAAAGATTTTCTTGAAATCTTCCAAATTCTGCCACATTTTTATAATCGTCAGCAATCTGCTAGATTTAAAATGAAGGTGTTAAACCTGATACAAATGGTCATACTATTATCAGTGTGTGAATATTATCTATGGTAGGTAGTTTTGCCAACTCGATACGTAAAATAAGTGCTAGATGACATCTCAAAAAGTGCTTGATTGCTAATATATTTTTCACGCAAAAATAAATAAAGAAAAAACACAACATACGTATTATTTTTTTTTATTATAAAAATATAACTTAACTAATGCCATTCTTCTTTACAGTTTCCGTTATATTATTTTTCTCTTTGGTCAGAATCTTCTGTAATGGATTTTTTCATGGACAGCGTAAAGCGTGGGACAACGAAAAATTAAAATATCTAGATTTCTAAATTAGATTTTCGTCGTTATAATTTCGTCGTTTCCTTTTTCTGTTCATCTTTATATCTCTCCGCATTATATTTTCTGTGATCTTACCTATAAAATCTTACTGTGAGTAGAAAATTAATCAAAAATTGGGAATAGCGATTCGGTGCTAGGTGCTCAAAGTCAAATTTCAGTGCTAACTAAAGATTACAATATTATACTGGAAAGTGCTAACCTTATGAAAATAGTGCCAGATCTAGTACCAAAAGTGCTATAAGATGGCTACACTGAAAGTAGGGATGTTACAATTCATTCGAGAGAGACTAAAGATGATCAATAAACATCAATATTGGGAGGCAACCAACCGTTTATTTTAGAGATTAACATTGATGTTCAGAAAAAACATCAATATTACTTTTACATCTCTCATATTCGAGAAGTAGGTCCTAATTACTTCCAAATGGGGCTTGTGAGTGACCAATAAGCGCTCTAGGGTAATTATGTAGCTAGAAAAGCCCTAGGGAGGTGAGTAATTTAAAAAAAACAAGTCACTTTTTCAAAAAGTTCGCGTATGTCTAACCATTATACTTGTAATAGAGATCATGCAATCAGCCCAATGACCTCTTCTCTATTCAGCCTTGCTTGAAGCTGAAGCAGCATTAACAATATTATGCCGGAAACTTCTAAAGAGAGATATTTTAACTAATAACATGTTTTATTTTTGTAATGCCTTTTTTTTTCAACTTATCTCACAATCGAGATATAAAGCAAAGTAGTTAGCTCGGGTGTTATCATCAATTGCACCCTCGAACTATAGGCGCCAATCAATTGCATCAATTGCAGGCCGAAATATATATAAATATCTCGGGCTGCAATTGATGAATTACAGCCCTACTAATCCAAACACATACTGCAAAATACATTAGTAGTCAGTCAACTGCACGTTAGGACAAACAAATCTGTTAAACTTCTTCACTTGATTTTAAATCTTATTAGTTACTAATTTTAAGTAGAGTTTCAAATCTACCGGAGAAACATCAGTATATGGTAGCCTCTCGTCACGTGCAGTCATGTGTACATAAAATATCGATATTTTTTGATTTATTGTTCTTAATGGAAATTAATTTATTAGGAATTTCCTTCCACTAAATCTCTACTTCTCCTAATCTTAGTTTATGCCGATGTCAGCTCACGGCTTCATATTTCTGTATCAGATTTATATTAGGTTTACCCAAATATGATCATGTTTCCGATTTCCAATTCGTCTTCGCCAGAATATTGTTTCATATCTGTATTCTGTTCAATTCTTATTCACCTTTTTACCTTTTAAGGAACGTTTTAAATTCTTTCACAACACACACCCTAGAGTTTTAAGGTCGTCGGAGAACTTGAAGTTGTCAATACCAATACATGCCAGTAAATTCATTAATAAATAATTTACAGTCCAAGCTACCCGTCTCTGGAATGCATTGCCGGAGTATATCAGACTTGCACAAAGCAAACATGTTTTTAAAGGACTAGGTAGTCAAAGAGCTTTGAATCTTCAACTTCCTATGTAGGTATATGCTATATTATATTATATGTATATACATGTATGATTTATTGTTTATGTGGTATTTATTATTAATTTAATTTATTAAATACATGTATCTTAGACTGTACTAAAGTTTTTGAGACATCATAAGCTACCCTTAGATATATTTTTTCCAGTACGAAAAGATTTCCTGGAAGAAATTACCTTTAAGGGTGATTATTTGAAAACGAGTGGTTTTGACTAATTCATCTGTCATTTTTTAATTCTCAAGTTAAAATGCTTAAAACACTTTAGCGTCAGGAGAACATTATTATGAATATAATATGTTGAAGGCCTTACAATCCCTTCAGTGCGAGACAAGATATAGGACACATATTAATTAGTCAGTCAGGTTAATTAGAAATAAGACAAAAGAATGAGAATATGCTGACATATTAATTATAATGAGCCAGTTAAATGAGAAATAGAAGAAGTTAAAGGCTATAAAAGTGAAAGGCAAGCCGAATAGATGGTAGTAACTAATTTAAAAAAACAATAACCTAGTTAATTAATAACCCGAACGAACAGCACCAAAAAATATATTAATCCAGACATATTAATTAAAGAAATAGGTTAGTTCATAATGAAATATCTTTTTTAAAGTAATGTTTTTATTTTCTTTGTTTCGTTTGTAATTATTGATGGATTCGTTAGGTAACTCTGTTAAACTTAATAGAAAACAATAACAATCTTTAATTTCACGTAATAAGAACAGAAATAAACAAATAAACATACTTCTAAAATCGGATTTAAAAGCAATGTTCATAATATATAATAACAATAATATATTAATAATACCTATCAGGAGAAACTCGTGATAAAAACTTACAATTAAATCTTCAAGATTTTCTCAAAAATATTAACGAAACAATCACAAAATAGGAACCTAAAATTTTAGAATTAACTACTATCAGACTTGTTGAGGGTGCTGAT